CTTTATTATAATATAGTTTAGGTTAATGCCAATTCGCGATATCAACTGTTTTCAAACTGATCAAGTATTTTTGTGGTTTGGTACTTGTAATTAATTTCCCATTGCTATATCAAGTCAAATCGCTCGACCTCTTTTGGCAGCTGGGCTCTTATGCAGATACCTCGAATTGACAGAAGTTGGAGAATGTGAACCATAGAACTTTGACGCAGTGGCTGAGTGGTTAACCCGCTCGTCGTGAAATTTTGGGGATCTTGAGTTCCATCCGTAGCTGGGTAGTGGGTGCGTATTATTGAGACGTACCATACTAGAACGAAACGGATATCCAGTGCTCCCAAGTTTTCAATGATTGCCCAACTGATGTCAGTTCGTGATGAATACTATCTCAAAATTAAAATCCCCACTAATCTCAAAATACCTTACTGTACATTGATTTCTAGGCATTTATGTGATGAGTGATGAGAACTCAGGAATTTATTGGCACCGATCCAATAATTGACTAAAGATGCATTAGAAGTAGTATTCATAACTGACTGACATCAGTTGGGGAACCATGAAAACCTCGGGGCACTGGATAGCCACTTCGTCCTAGTATGGTACTTCTCGGCAGTACGCACCCACTACCCAGCTACGGATCGAAATCACGATGAACCCGTTAGCCATTCACCCACTGGGTCACAGTTTAGTGCTTCACAGTTTCTAACTTCTGCCAATTCGCGATATAACGCGACTGACTATCACCTAAGGTCTTCAGTTGGCATTCGGTTCCCTTCTAATTGCTGGACCCCACAAGTCACTGCTTTTCATCATAACTTCATGATATCCATCTGGAAGCATGTCACCAATGAGCACTATACAATAATGAACTTTTCAAGATAAATGGGGATTTTAATTTTAATTAATTGAACAACACTGCACAGTACACTGGAAAGAGTGATTCACCGGTGAAAATATCTATAAGCAGACATTTGTGTGAAAATCAATTTGGTCGGGTAGTTGTTTCGTATGCAACTGGACCATACGGAAATACATTACGTAGGTGGTTGGTTATTGTGTATAAGGATAGTGAATTTTAAAAATGGCACGCACTTGAAAAACTATCATTACGTAATAGATTATTTTCTTAGTCAAAAAGTGTGAAGACAGTGTACCGCGTTTACATATAAGCATTCATATAAGCGGGAGAATAACAACTTTTCCGAAAGTGTGAACACATTCATGCACAAATAACAATTCTACGAATGAACTGTCGTACACCAACAGACACACACAAAATATAAATAGGCAGCAATCGTCAAGGTTGCCCATGCAATAACTGATGAAATGCAACAAAATAGTAGTATAGTAATGATGGATAGTGGCTAGCAGTGAAATCCAGGATGCACATTTTGTCCTATTTGGGACTCACTAGTCAGGTAGGTGTACCTGCCTCCTAGTGAGTGGTGCTGTTCCCACTAAGACTATGACTCAGGAGCAATCGCTTCAAATGCCAGAGCGTTACCGACTACACCACTGAGCCACGATAACCACTTCTAGTGCGACGGGTATAGTTTTAGTGTTATTGCTTGTATTACACTGTCGTTGATTGGACCGAATTGATCGATCTCTAATGGCAAATGGGCTTCTGTGTCGATGCCTCGATATTGCCTGTTTTAATTACATGTAGTAGTGATAGTATCCGTTGCACAAGAAGTGGTTATTGTGGCTCAGCGGTGTAGTAGATAATGCTCTGGCGTTTGAAGCGATCGCTCCCGAGTCCGAATCCCGGTGGGAACAACATCACTCACTAGGAGGTAGGTACATCCAGCTGACGAGTCCCAAATAGGACGAAATGAGCATCCTGGATTTCACTGCTAGCCACTATCCATTATTACTATATATAATTAAAACATAGGCAATATCGAGGCGTCCGCACAGGAGCCCATATGCCAACAGAGACCGATCAATTCGGTCCAATCAACCACGGTATAATACAAGCAACTATACTAAAATAATAGTATTATTCAAATAAGGAAATCAGACAGAAAGTGGTATAAAAACTAAATGTCACAGGGTAGAAACCAAACAACTTTTATGAATATAACCGAAAATTAACTCCAGTACAGTTTTGTCATTTCTTCGACTAATTATTAACTGATTACTTGGGATTTCCCGTTGCCCGATCTCCATCTGCAGATGGGCTCCTAAGTGAGCACAGCGATACTGCCTAAATATTCGTTATGTTGTAGTTTACTTGATCGTGACTGGCTATGGAATCCGTGACGCGCGTTTCGTCCCATTCCGGACTCGTCAGGTGGGTTTATCTGAACTCCAGTGATTGATGGTGTTCCGACCGAGACTCAAATCCTGTACCTATCGTTCGCAATGCAAAACTCCTATCTACTGGGCTTTTGAGGCACAATAGCCACCTCCTGAGCAAGGGATATCAATCAAATCATTACAAATTCCTGTTACCACTTAAAAGCTAATTGAGTGAACAAAGAATATTCTTTTCGATAACTTCTTCTTCAGGTCCTACAGTTATATGTACATATTGAGGAATTACGCGTCAACAATACTGAGATTTCGCCTATCGGTTTGCTGATATTATACATATGAGGTCAACTAGAAAAGTCTTGTTTCCGACGTCAATGTCAGAATCGACTGCTACTGGGATTCAATTCAAAATAAATGGTTATCTAAACGATTATACTGCTTGGTAACGATGAACTATGTAAACAAGTGGATGGAATCACATGGACTCGCCAATTGGTCCCATATTAGCGGATATTTTTTATCAAAACTAGAGAACTGTTTACTTGAATGATCTATCAGAATTTCCATTTTACTGTCGATGATACATTCATCCTGCGTGAAAATAACATGGACAGATCAAAGATACTCAGCAGATTCAACGCAGTACAACCAAAAAAAATTCACATATGTTGAGGAGTCAGAAGACATCATAGCTTTTCTTCATATTCTCCCAAGAGAAAAAGATGGTTTGATAAAGAGGAATTCAGAGGTCAGCGAGACATTAATTAACAAACTACCCAGATCAATTCAAAGATTTTAATACTGGTAAGTTGTAAATTACGCTCTCCACAGGCCTAATTGTGAAACCGAGACTGAAAGATGAACTGCATGAACTGGCCGCTTACTGTTGTGTTTATTAGTTCACCTGTGGCTGCGATGTCAGTTACGTCAGCCACCGCTCCAGGAATTCAATTTTCCATGCTTGCGAACATCTCCCAGCATGATTAAGTATTGAAGACCATTATCAGCTTCATATTAGCATACTTGATTGAAACAGATCATAAGGTGGATATGAACAAGTCATTTTCCACCCTGTACAGGGTTCCTATTAACTTGTGAAAAAGTACCCAACTCCGAATCCTTCAAACTGAACAAGCAGTAGCAATCAGGACCAAATAACCGGAGTTGTGTGCTCAAAAGAAGCTAGTGTTGCCGTTGCAACTGCCATGACCAGATTCGAGACGCACCAGAGCATTAACATCCTACACCATGTAATCTTCCTAACTACATATTCTAGGTACCCCCCCCCTCATCTCCACAGTCTAAAATAATTTCACATTCTCTTAACCTATTTTGTCCCCTAGCGTAACATTCTATCAAGCTATTATCCTTCAAATTATTTTCTTAGTTTGTTTCACCCAGCTCTCATAAACACCTCCTATTTTTTTTATTAAACTACCACTTTATGGTGTCACATTAATACGTATAATGATCTAGATAATAAATTATTTAGAGTTGAATTCCAGTAACAATTGATTCTATCAGTCACGTACACAGGATGTTTCTGAATTGACTTGCTCAACTGCATAACATGGTTAACAACAAACTTATAGGCGAAATCTTGATGCTGTTGACGCATAGCTCCTCAATATATACATATAACTGCTATAGGGTTGCGGCTTAGTCGTCTAGGGAAATGACCACCAACTATTGGGTTACGGGTTCGAGGCCCGTCCCATCTACTGAGGTCTGAGCAGCCAGGTAGGAAGTATCACTAGCCCTACTGCATGGATGGGCATAAAGTAGTTGCGTGTGTTTCGATTTTCGACCTGATATATAACTGCTGGATCTGAAGAGGAAATTATCAAGAAGAATACTCATTGTCCACTCAAATGAATTTTCAATAGATATTAGTTGCTGCTTATTGATAATCGTAATTTCCCAACTGACGAATCTCAAACAGGATGAGATGCGCTTCTTGGATTCCACTTCTAGCCATAACCAAGCAAAATTCAACGCAATGAATATCCACGTAATATCGAAGCATCCGCGTAGGGGCCCATCTGCCAACAGAGGTCAAGTAATTCGACCCAGTACATCAACGGGAAATTACAGGTATCAATAAACAACAAGCGACACTCGTTGCACAAGAGGTGGCTATCGTGCCTCAGAGGCGTAGAAGACAATACTTTTGCATTGGAAGCAATAGGTACAGGGTTCGAGTCTTAGTGGGAACAGTGTCACTCACTGAGGTGCGAGTACATGTAGCTGATGAGTCCGGGATCGGACGAAACGCGCATCCTAGATTCCACAGCTAGGTAACAGACAAATCACAATCGACACTTATTATGGACTATGTACAGCTAAATAATACCATCCCATCTGTAGATACATACAGATGATCCTAAAAACATAGAATCAATCCATTGAAGTATTGTTGGAACTGAGAAGCGTGTTAATGAGACACTCTCCAATTTATACAAGAACTGAATGCGACTTCACAGTCATGTAGAATGACTACCCATTAAATTTGGTAAGTAGGTCAGATAATAGGTATAGACATCAACTGAACTCGTTTATATATAAGATTGTTTCAGTACTAAGTTCCCTGGAGTTTGTCTCGCAGGATATCCAACACAAACCGAGAAACTTATTCCAGTAATCAAAAAAATTTAAAATATACAGGCATAATATACAATTAATCAGCTAAAAAATCAATTCTCAAGTTAACAATTTTTTTCATAAGTCACCATGTAAGTAAGACTTACTTGATTGAAATGTATCACTGGTTGTGGATGGATACGTGTGATTGTTAAACATGATCGGTAACCAGCGAATAAAGAGGCGAATAAACGAAGAAATACAGCTCGTAATTTTTTATCCTGAGAAACTAAATCAATCGGCTGATTCGATGTAGCTGGTGGGTAGATATGATCAGCTGTCATTAGTTCCGGGCTTAAAATCTTAAAGATAAAGAAAAAATAGGTTATTCTTTGACAGGCTTGAGATTTGTTAACCACATCAAAACAAGACAAGATTAAACCTTGTTAACACTAGGGTGATGTTCGACCCACAAGTTGAAAGTCAACGGTATAAATCAACGAGTCACAGATCCATTGAAAAAACAGTAGACTGTAGGAGGATAACATGAGGTCATTTTTATTATCGATTCGAGGATTTTTCTCAGACAGACAGAGAACCTCGCACATAACTGCATCGGTTCAACTTGCCAAACTTCATAGCTGTATACCAAGAACAGATGGATATCAAAGTAGACAAAGTTTTGTGAAAGAAAGAACAATCTGAGATAAAGGTTAATGTGAATATTCAAACTTAGACTACGAGTCACAGACTTCATCAACTGGTGCCAAGTCTTACTCTGGCCACAATGAACCTACTTCCAACTTCTAGCATGGCATGTTACGATAGGCAGTGGATTGACATGTGCAAAGGATTCTTCTCAACTGTTTACAACTAATTGTATAAATAACAAGAAATGAAAATAAGTTAGCAAGAAGTTATTAACAAGACTGACCGCTAATATGTAGTGGAGACTGTTAAGAATGTGATGGGAAGATTGAGTGTTTTGGGGATTATCAGATACAATATTCTAAGAGGAGTAGGTTAAGAGGTGAGAATAGGTAATAATTACCACCTTAGACTAAACAAACTTCACAATGTTTTGAACTGAAGAAGAGTAAGGTAAACAGACTTAAGTTAAAATAGTTAAGTTTGAAGCAGAACAAATGTTCAAGATAGGATGACATGACAAAATATGCAGGATAAAGTGACGTAACAAGAGTTGGCATACTTTTTATCAGTGGAAGGTTGACAATTGTATCTTTTTCAATACATACATTTAATTAAAGTCTCTTGATGGCTATCGCTTCGATAGAACGCAATAGGCTTCAGTTCGTTCGCCTGTTCACGGCTGATATATGTTTAAGATTATCACTCTCAGCATTTGAGGATCTGACACCTCAGATGTATTGGTCAACACTACTGACCAGCTGCTAGATCACACATCATAGGATAACAGTTGTAATTCTAAGTTATCTGCAGCTGATGCAAAGCCACGAAAACTGAATGAAGACACTTTATCTCAAAATGTCCGCAGAGACCACATGGATAACGCTGTGGCATTTGAAGCAATAGGCCTCGGGTTCGAACCTCAGTGGGAACAACAATGCCCACGAGGAGGCAAGTAAATCCAGCTGACGAGTCCTAAATACGACTAGAAGCGCGTCCTGGATTCCGCTGCTAGCCATTAATTATCATTCATACAAAACCTTTCCATTTGTTCATGTTGGACTTTAAGATATCAACATTGTCCCAGAAAATAATTATGTTTTTCATCTATGGATGCATTTGCTATGCTATAGACAAACGTTTTTTTCCAAATTTTCATATTATTATGTCCATACAGGCTGACCTTAGTTAATCGTTGATGTCTGGTGTTGAGTGATCTCAGTATTTGACCTACATAGTTAGCTGGGTAATCAGCATAAAATATTTTGTACATGAGACTAAATTTGTCCAATATCTTTTTAGATCTTTCAAATGGTTTAGTTTGTTTCTAATGAGGTTCATGGGTTTAAATGTGGTTTGAACCCCCACTCTTTTGAGAGTTGTTTGGATTGTCTCAGACATACCTTTCCAAAATGGGATTAGTGCAGTTTTTTTCGTACTCATCTTTCTTATCGTTTCCCGTCTGTTCTTCTTCTTGATATTGTTTTTATGAACTCTTCAAGATAGTGATCTCTTAATGATTATTGTTTGTGCCTTGGGTTCCTAGTGAAACATAGGGCTTCAGTAGCACGTCTCCATTTCACTCTCTACTCTTCAGTCTTTTCAACTTCTCTCCACGACTGTCCACAAGCTTTCATTTCTTCCTCACATGATCTCCTCCATGTCACCCTCAGCAGCTGTGACGCCCAACTCGTCGTTTCCCATCTGGATTCCACTCGAGGGTCTGGCAAGTGATATCCCGAATAGTCTTCTCAGTGTATGTCCAATCTAATCCATCTCCACTTTCTTCTACTGCATATTTGTTAGGCGATAGGTTCTCGGTTGGTTGTTTCGTTGCCAGGGCAGAGTTTCTTACTGCTAATTCTTTCTGGCCATCTCATCTTCAGTATCGAGCGTAGTCAGATGTTGATGTGTGTCTGTAGTTTGATGGAAATGCTTTCGTAACACACCAGGTCTTTGATACACTATGAATAAAATGTTTATTTCTTTTCGCTAATCATTAGGGTTTGTTGTCAACCTAGTTATCCGATCTTTTAAACCCTTTTTACACTGAACAAATGCGTTGAGTGGCAATCCAGAAATCTTCCTAAGTGCATAGCTTTTTGGAGGTCGTGGTCTTTCAACTTTCATCTGTCATTCTTTGTATTCTACAATCTCTATTTCCATAATGAACCTAAACTGAGTCTACATGACTACTTAAATGGGCATGAAAAGTGTTGATAACTTTCTTTATTATGATCAGTGTGCCATCACTAACTTTTATTGACTGAGGATATGTATGATTTTAATGAGTTTTCTTCCCAAAAATTAATGAATATGTCGCCTATCATAGGTGAAATGAGTGACCCCATAGCCGTTCTTTTTTCCAAAAAACAAAATATTCTTCCAATTCTACTTCATCCTAACTGGACATCTTAACATCGGTCTTCGAATGGCCTTCGGTACAGCTTAATTACAAATATCAATCTAACCATCCGAAATAGCTGTAGTCTCGCAAACTACTATTGATACCAAGTGGTGATTGAAGGTGAAGTTAAAATTTAGGTTACAGCAGGATTCCAACCAACAACCACTGCCTTCAGGTCTGCAGCTCTACCAACTGAGCTATGAGATCTGACTGCTAAACAGATTTTTATTTCACTTCAATCATCACGCACTCCAACCTCGCCTGGTTAACTAGTTCACTAGTTACTAGCCGGTCCTAAGCCCAGGTAAAGAGGGAAGGTTGGGCATAGAGCTAGCAACCCTACCCCGTAAAACAAATCTAACCGCTAAACAAACTTCAAAGCACAAACAAAATAATAATCATACACTGCCTCTCTTTTTCAGATAGATTCGGATTGAGACGAGAAATCTTGACTGGGTAGCCAATGTGAGTAAGATCAAGCGGTAGTAACGTGTCACGAACTCATATGGCAGTCGGGCAAAATCTTTGGTGGCTGGTTCTAGTGAAATAAAAATATGGTCGGCAGTCAGGTCTCGTACCTCATTTGGTAGAGCACCGGACAGGAAACCCTGTGGGCACCGGTTAGAATCCCACTGTGGTCCAAATTTTCATTTCACCTTTAATCATCATCCACTACCAATACAGGTCTGCCAAATCATGATTATATTAGATAGTCAAAATAATAAATTAATTCTCTTCACAAGTACAAATTTTTCATGTCAGTTAGTTTTTTGAATGAAAGAGCACAGAACTAGTTGTACTTTTGCTACTGAACAGATTATACTAAAAAGAATTTCGATAGAGTAGAAGCAGGATCATCTATGTATAATGTTAAGCTGTCAAGTTTGTCAATAGTGTGTCTGTGACAATTTCATGAATATACACAATTGATTTTCAAACATTATTTATCATGTCAGTTTGCTGCAGGACTGGGTCTGCAACCACTCCTAGTCTAATTAATGATAAGGAGTGAAGTGGTGGAATGTGTCGACCACTTCACTTACTAGGGAGTTGCATCAACCCGAATGAGGTGGTTGCTGACGAACTCTCAGACCAACTTCAATATACAGTTGTTGCTGAAAGCTTCACGATTAAATCACCCAGCTCAGAAAACACAGCATAACCAAGACCATCCCACCTCAGCAATAAATATTCTCCACGATTTCAAAAGCGCTACCAAGGATTTTCGTTATTCTACTCATTAAATTTTATGCTTTCATTCTTAAGCATTGCTTTGCATTGTTTCAGGTTTGACACAACCTTCTTAACTTTGAGGAGGGATGAAAGACTAACACCTAAATTCCATCCAACTTCGGGTTGAAAGCTAGGTAACTGAAGGCTTGCTGTGAGAGGCTAGTTGAACTATTCTTAATAGTGTTCTACCCACCTATTCTGAATGCATTTACAATAACGATATCAGACTTTAGGCATGGTGTCTGCGACGTTCACCCAACGACTTTCGATATTGTGAAAATATAAACTAGAAAGCCTACAAAAATGACAATCAATATGATACTCTCCAGCTCTAATTCAAGTAGATTTGGAGTGAGATGAGAAGTCCTGACTGGGCAGTCAGGATGAGGATGATCAAGAGATAGTAACATGTCATGGATTTATATGGTGGTCGGGCAAAATCTTTGGTGACTGACCGAAGTGAAATAAAAGTTTGGTCAGTAGTCAGGTCTCGTAGCTGAATTGGTAGGGCTTCAGGCCGGTAACCCAGCGGTCGCTGGTTCGAATCCGGTCACGGTCTAAATTTTTATTTCACCTCCAATCATCATTCGGCAACAATAATTTATGTAATACACGTCTAGGTTTTTTTTATATAACAATAGATTCATGAAAAATCAGCTGTTTGCCTTCAATATCACTAAACAGTAAAAATTTTGAAAAATCGAAGCAGTAACATTAGAAATTAATCAATAACTTGTGATCTCGATTAAAAGAACATGATAAACGGTGGAAACATGAATAAAACAAACTATGCGCGCTCACACACACACATACTAATCACCATACTTGCCCTCGACATTGGCGAGTTCAGCATGAAAATGTCGAATAAACACATTAGCATAAAGTTCTAGGTATGGTCATGTGTTTCGATAGTCAAACCTACATAATCTACCTAGAAAGAGTCAATGATAGTTCACAGCTAGGGATATGAAATTGACAAGAAAAATATCATCGTTAACCGAATAATACTTTCAAAATTTTTTCAGCTGATCAATAAACAAACTTCAACTGAATATACATGCAAGTGAACAAATAGATTAGTGATTATATCAAATTGATTCGTAAATTTACTAGAAATATTACAAGTCATTATCGATTGAGCCTGTTAGGTTACTGAGCTTGAAAAATTCATCAAAGGAAAATGAATAAACTTTACAGATGCATACATATTCTGAGGTTGTAAACATTACGGACTGACATCAGTTGGAGAACCATTGAAAACCTGGGAGCACTTGATAACCATTTCGTCCTAGCAATACACATCCACAACCCTCCCGCACCAGGAATCGAACTCAGGACATTCAAGTCACGCCTCGAACGGATTCACTATTCATTTACGAGGTTAGAGTTCAACAACCTATAGTTTCCTACTTCTGCCGATTCGCGACATACTGCAACTTACCTACCAACATCTTTAGTTAGCATCCGACTCAATTTCGACTAGCTTGAAATAAAAATCTCCCATACACCTCAATCTAGAAAAGTTATAGTCAATTGTATTCATTTGGAAAAGTGGCAGTCAATTCATCACATAAGTATATAAATTCACTTACCTGAAATAAGTTTTCAACAACTTCAGTAAAATATGGATCAGGCAGTTGAGGAACTGGAGTATTCTCAGGACAAACTACACTACCACCGTCGAGATCAGCAACAAATACATCAACCTAGTGATTGTGAAGAAAGTAATGAAAACATTTTTTTTAAAAACAGTTAGTGGAAAAGTAATTTAAAATGTAAACGCTCATTGAATATAGAAGACAGTATATCGAAAGTAACATAATGATTGTACAACAGTGTCTGACAACAATATAACTTCCGCTGTACACCTAGCCCAAGAAAGGAAAACATTTAACTTGTGTTAATGGCTATTTTTATGAACAACTACAAAGTGGAATTCGATAGGTGTTGCTACTTTGCACCTACAGCCATCTAATTTTCACCACAAAGAATATCAAGAGAAAGCGAGAGAGAGAGATGAGTGGTCTTCTTATAGATGAAAAAATGTTCATCTGAACTGCATTCTGAACTTTGTTTCTTATACACATAACTTCAGATTGAATAGATACTGAGTTCATCATTTTCCATTGAATGTTCATATCAAAGTTAGCTACAATGAAACAACACCACTCTATTATCAAATGCTGAATAAATTTCATTATCTGAATGTTCATTCACCAGTACTTTTCTCGACTATACACATATATAATAAATGTACATTATGTTGGTACTTGTATTACCCCCGTCGTTGACTGGACCGAACTGATCGGTCTCTATTCGCATATGGGCTCTTGTGAGGATGGCTTGATATTGCCCGTAATTTTAGTTTGGTAGTATAAAAGATAGTGGCTATCACTGAAATGTAGGACGCACGTTTCGTCATATTTGGGACTTACCCGGTGGATATCCTGGCCTCCCAGTTCAGCTATATTATTCCCACTAAGATTCAATCTCGAGACCGATTGCATCAAACGCCAGAGCCCATATGCTAACAGAGACCAACGAACGACGGGATAATACAAGCAACAACATAAAAACTATACCCATCGCACAAGAAGCGGGTTAGTAGCGTTTGAAGCGGTCAGTTCCGGGTTCGGATTTTGGTGGGCACAATATTGTTCACTGGAAGGCAGGTACATCCACCTGATGGTTCAGAATATGACAAAACGTGCTTCCTGGATTCCACCACTAGTCACCATCCATCATTATTTTGAATTTAAATTAGTAAACAATGTTTCATTGGCAAGTTTATCAGATGTAGTTGACCTACTTACATGAGTATCGATGTAATTCACAAGTGACCTTTATAACAGTATCGAAATTTTAATGCTACAATACAATCAACCAACTCATCATCCGCCTTCTGCTTACTGAAGATTAACTAATTCAGGTCGTTAGTATTGCTTTAGTTAATCTATAAGAAACTTGGATGTTATTACTAATTATTGATGTACAAATATATCAATAAATATTAATAACTACTACCCATTGTACAAGGAGTGGCTACTGTTCCTCCATAGCATACTGGTTAACGCCTTGGCATTTGGAGCGACGGGTACGAGGTTCAAATCTAGGTGGGAATAACATCACTCCGCACTGGGGTGCAGGTATATCCAGCCGACGAGTCCCATATAGGGCAAAACGCACGTCTTGGATTCTTCTGCTAGCCACAACCAACCAAACTTGGAGGTGATCACAAAATCACTGAAAGTATATTACTTCATCCTCTAATATACACAGATGAATAACGGAAAAGGTCGTAGCGTTTGTATTGGTTAGCTTACATAATTCATACTAACTACCTACTCCATCTCCATACACTATAAGCCAAGTACTGATCAGAGTTATAAAGCAATGAAACACAAATACCCTGCTAGACAAATCCGATTACTACGTTAAACTAAATAAGTTCAACAAGGAATCATTATAGAACAATTCCAACTCCCGCTAGAACCTCTTTCTATTATTTATTTGTCAACAGTATAGAAGGTAGTTCAGGGATGAACACTTCGAGCAGTTTCTTTTAGTAGCTTATAGGTATACTACTAAATCCTTATGCCTTTTCCAACCGGCTGTCATGAACATAATAATCTCCCTTCTAGGACACAATATTTATAAACATGAAATTTATGTCTTCAATGATTCAATCGTAGAAGAGTAGGCATTCGTTACAGTCTTCAAACTTCTTAACCTAGTAATCTCAATAGTTGCATAGGAAGCGATCAGTACACTGGAAATAACAGTGATCAAGGTATATACAGCATTAACTTATTTCTTACTTGTATCGCCTGTATTTAATAAAATCAGAATTAAGCAATAGAATACAGCTCATCTATTGATGAGTATACATTCACTGTGGATCATCTATCCACTAATATACTGTAAAGAGTTTAAATTTCGTTGAAAGATAAAAAAGACGAATGAGCTGAAAATTACAGATTCGATACTGACAGACATGGAGCTGTGGGGCTCAGTGGTTTAGAGAGATGACTATCGACCAATGGGGGTCAGGGGGTTCGAACACTTCTCCACGTATCGACGTTTAGGCAGCCAAGTAGTATCCCTAGACCTTAAACAATAAGTATGACTCATTGTCGACTGTATGGATGTGCACAAAGTGGCTGAGTGCGGAAGTTAACCAAGTAATAGTGTAGTACAAGATACAGATTCTAATAACAACTATTATATTCAAGATAAAATTGTTCTGACTTCCAATTAATCACATATTATACACTTGGATATATTAAACAGATGTGTATAGGATAGTGTCGATACCAGCTTGGTGACTATCAGTATAATGCAAGGCGTGCTTTTCATCCTATTTGGGACTCATCAACTGGGTGTATCTGCACCCGAGTGAGTGATACTGTTGCCATGGAGACTCAAATCCAGTAGCCATAGTTTCAAAAGCCAAAACGTAAACCACTAGACCGCGATAGACACTACACGGTAATACTTCCATGGGGCTTAATTCAGCATATTTATGATAAAAAACATTAAAAAAAATTAATCGACTTCGATGTACATACACAAAAGGGGTCATAACGACAACTAACCAATGAAAAGAAACTATGAGGTAACAAAAACGTATGTGGCGCTTAAATACGATCTTACCCTAGTGAATAGAAGCCTGAATTATATATATGTATAAACGAAGTATCTGGATAAGTTCATTGATTCTAGTGTTACACACAATACACAAAGAAGTAGATGGGAAGAGAGTAGAAAGAATAAGTTAATAAAGATCGGCAAAATGTTCGAAATTCGGAAGATTACAAAGAATACTTTGACTGGTCATTGGAAGATAACTAATTTCATGTTGTCTAGTCCTATATGGTAAACGAATTTTATCAATCACTTTGTAATGTGATCACTAGGCTAGAAGATTCACCATCGCGATACACTGCGAGAGATGTTAGTTGGACGTAGGCAACCAAGAAGTAGTCCCGGAACTAGGTTTCATGCTTTCTGGCGCGTTATCAATTTTGTCGAGGTTGTAGATACACCTTAGTGACGAGTGCTAAAAAGTGCGATACCTAGATCCAGGGGTTTCCTGTCGATCGTCTCCATCCAACTAAAATTACAAAGAATTCTTTCACCGGCGTCATTATGCCTGATTTTGAACCATAACACATAGAGTCGCCTACCATCGATTATCAATGGATACTCACAACTTCATCAAGTGAACTGACTACCTTGCCCAATGCTAATCTACACATAACTCAAAGTTACTCACATAGAAATGTCATGACAACCACCTGAATTACTTTCAACGCTTTATGGGATCTTTTTTTTTGTCGCATCCCTACGTTTGATATGAATCTTAGGATGGATACTAATACTATTGAGACTTGGGATAGAACAAGACAATTACCTATTACTCTCAAGTCTAGGATGGTCAGCATATACATGTCAACCACATGCTAAAATCCTTAGGCACGTCTGGCTTCATGAGAGTTGCTCTACTCCCTGGAGGTCACCTTGTTGACTTAAAGTAGGCAGACGATATTGTCCTGGTAGGTGAAAACCCTGATAAAATACAAGGTCTTGTGAACGTATAGAACAGAAATCTGGGTATGTTTGGCTGGCATGTATTTCGCACCCTTCAAATGTAAGATGATGCTCCAGGCTAGTCTGCAACTGCTCCCAGTTTAATTAATAATAAGGGGGTGAAGTCATGGAATGTGTCGACCACCTCGTTTACTTGCAGAGTTGCATCTGTTCGAACAGCCTCTTTGTTGACGATATCCCAACTCAGATACAGAAGACCCGTTTGCATTTGCCAACTTGTGTCATCTGTCCCATAAAGTGGTGAAATATCCGACTACCTATCAAAGGACAAGTATGCTGTACGGCAGTTCGTTCTGTCCTGTTATACGGCTATCAGACATGATCGTTGGAAGTAGAAGGCACAAAGCAGTTACAAGTTTTGTCCACAGGTGTCTTCGCAGCATTGTTCGTGTGTGTGGTGGAAACTGCGTGTGAGCAATATCGAGGTCAGCCGAAGGGTACTAGTTAGATAGTCCGGAAAGTCGATTGATGAGGTTGTGAACCTTCTGAGACTGAAGTGGCTTGGACATGTACTGCATGTACCATGCCACCACCTACCTCGATATGCCATGCTAGGAATAATGAGATTAGATTCGAGGAGGGTTTACGGTGGCCAGATATAGATGCGGAAATGGTCCATGAAGTCTCCAACTCTTGGTATGAGCCATTTGGGGATATGTGAACTGTCTGGTTGGGGTACTCGAGATGAAAGGAACCAGCGATTGAGAACTGGTCACAGTGGCACATATGTATTCACTCCCTGATGCCTTCTAAAGCTTGAATATGTTAAGGTTGTTTATTCTCTCACACAACTTTGTCTACTTTGATGTCATTCCTTTTCTATCCACCTGTTCTTTGTATATTACTACCATAGGGTGTGACAACTTGTGGTGATGCACTTGTGTTTGACGTTCTACCTTGAGTTTGTCTGTATGTTTGATGTATCCAACTGATTAAAAGGAAAAACTAAGTAGGAACGAACTCAACAACCTTGTACATATTTGTGCAGTAGGTAGTGAGTCAAATCTATTGTATGAGGGCTAATGATACTAACTGTTTGCCTAAATCTCGGTGAGTAGAGATAAGATCGAAAGTGTGGCCAACTGTTTAAAAGTCACTTTCCTAAAACAATGAGCCACAACTGCAACAAGATAAAATGGGAGGAGTGAATGAAAAATAAAATGATGGTTATCATTATTATTCAAACGGATTGTTGTGATACAAGATGGTATAACTGTATTGTCTGCCGGAGTCCACTAGCTTGAAGATATCAACCACAACAAAAGATGTTTTTCAACTTCCAATTAATATTTACCTTCCATGTACTATGTATAGTAATGATCAACACGAAAAATACTTACCGTATCAGGCAACAAATGCTGATAAGATGAATGAATACCATAGAGAAATGGAGTTGGTGCATTCACAAATTCAATTAATGATTTTGGAAGTATAGGAACATATGTATGGCTATATGTGAGAAAATTAAAAGAAAGAAAAAATGATTACGTTACATGTAAGCATGTAAGAAAATATAATGGAACACATAAGATTATCAAGTAATAGTCATTATGGAAGCACATAATACATAAGTAAGATAGAGGGGATGACCTTCTAATGGTTGAAATGCAGCATTCTGATTGGTTACCCAAGTCGTAAGCCACATATTCAACTGGGCCTCTAAGATAAAGTCAGTCGTCATTATGCTAGTGACCTCCAGTTTACCGGCTAGATGCTCTACCAATTTAACTACGAGACCTACATGCTAACCAGATCTCATAGTTGGGTCTCGTAGATTAGTTGGCAAAACACCAGACAGAAAACCCGGAAGTCACTGGTTCGAATTCTGCCGCAGCTCAGATTTCCATCTCATCTTCAATCATCATCCAGTATAAAATGAAGTCACATTATACCACAGAAGTAGTAAATATGGATCAGCGGATGTCGAAATAATGGTTCAATGACAACGAGCTGGTCGTGGAACCTGAAGGTGCTGAGTCCGACCCCCCATGGGTGGAGTCATGGGTAAGCACTGTTGGAGAGTCCCATACTAAGAGGAAACAGCTGTCCAGTGCTCTCAGGTTTCCAATATTTTTCCAACCTATGTTAGTCCATGATGAATATCCTCATAAACCTACAGAATTGATAAAAATTACCTTTTAATACTAAACAACAATATAAAACTGTTTACATACATTCAACTAACTTACCCATATTTTAAGGGATATAATATAGAAGTCAAAGCATGACATGCCTCTGTTAGCCGGTTTAAACTGCGTGAACACAATAAAACCTTTTGATCGCTGATAATTGCAGTGAACAATAAAATCACATTATGTACTCCTAGTTTATTAAAGCAGAAAAATAGTCAAAATCAAACATCAAATGTAAAATTTATATAACAAAATTAAATATAAGGTTAACAGTATTAATGATATAGATGAAATGCTACATTTTCACTTCCTGAAATAAAAACTTTTAAAATTTCAGAGTATACTACAACGAGGGTGGTGGTAGAAGTCTTTATTTTGTTACACCGCACATCAGAGAACAGTGTATGCATACTTTGTTGATAAAATAAAAACTAACAACAAGGATAGAATATAAACCCTATGAATAAAAGTATTCATGAATCCAACAGATTTCAATTAGTCAAACAAGAAATGATGATTTAGATGAACCTTCGTCAAGATTTGACTAGAGTTTCACAAATATTGGGCGTCTAGAGAAAAGTATAAGGTTTTTATATGATACCGTCGTTGACTGGACCAACGATCCATCCTTAACACAATCACATTGCTGGCAATATCGAGGCATCCATACAGGAGCCCATATGCTAATAGAGACCGATCAATTCGGTCCAATCAACGACGGTATCATATAAAAACCCTTATACTAAAAACTATACCCGTCGCACAAGAAGTGGCTATCGTAGCTCAGTGGTGTAGTGGATAACGCTCTGGCGTTTGAAGCGATCGCTCCCCAGTTCGGATCCCGGTGGGAACAACATCACTCTGCGCTGGGGAGCAGGTACATCCAGCTGACAAGTCCCAAATAGGACGAAATGTGCATCCTGAATTCCACTGCTAGCCACGATCCATCCTTAAGGTGTAGAGAAAATTTGACATTTAATAGGCGTTATCTTTGTATCCAACGTGAATTATTAAGTCTAAACACGATTGTATACAATTTTGACATCATCGATGGATAGCAGTTGGCAATGGAATGCAGAAAGCACGCTTTGTCCTATTTCGGAATCGTCAGCTGGATGTACCTGCTTCCCAGTGAGTAATGTTGTTCCCAGTAAGGCTTAAACCCAGTACCCTACTCTTCAAACGCCACAGCATTATCCACTAGGCCACTGAATCACGAGACCTACTTCTTGTTGTTTTCTAAACTCTCAAATTTTTAGTTTCATTCCAGATAATCCGCACTTATTATTCCAATTATTTTTATTATTATTATTATTTCCTTGGGTTTCTAGTGGAACATAGGGCTTCAGTAGCAAGTCTCCATTTCACTCTCTTCTCTGCAGTATTTTCAACCAGACGCCACGACTGTCCACAAGCTTTCATTTCTTCCTCATATGATCTCCACCATGTCACCTTCGCCACGGACGCCCAACTCGTCATTTCCCACCTGGGTTCCACTCGAGAGCCTGGCCTGGCGCGTGATGTCCCCAGTTGGCCATCTCAGTGTATACCTAATCCATCTGCGCTTTCTTCTGCATATTTGTTGGGTGATAGGTTGTTGGTTGGTCCGTTGCCAGCTAGCCAGCCAGAGTTCCTTGTTGCTTATTCTTTCTGGCCCATTCCAATTATACGAAATGTCAATAAATGGCAATATGAATGATCATATGATGAAATAAAAGAAAGGCGTACTCAGATACCTTGTACATATCCGTGTAGTCGGTAATGAATCACACCTATTGTGTGAGTGTTAATGATGCTACTACCTGGCTACCCATACCTCGGTAGATGAAGCACGGTTCGAATCCATGACCTAATGGTTGATAGCCATCTCCTTAAATCACTGAGACACAGCTTACTTCGTTTGACTAAATGATTAGTTGTGAACACAAACGATACATTTGATTGAAGTCAAGCTGGGCAGATAAATTGTGAAAATGACCTAGCAAGTAATTTTTACATCTTTGAAGAATGGACGTTAAAAATAAGCCATTCGAAATAAAATAAGCAATTGCTCAGTTTCACATCAATGAATACTGAACTCAATCTCTATGTGTTTTCAGATCATATAGAGAAGTGAAATAGCTGAAGTCTATCGTAGCTGCTTAGGAATTACAAATGAAAAAACAACAATCACTGGGGAAGAAAAACTTATTGTTGATCAAAAAATTTACCCAAGTGTTTAAATAATACAGCTACACAATTTCGAGTAACAGGTATACTACTACAATGAGCAGGTTGAATTATCTGACGATCACCAGTGCCTAAACTGAATGTTACTCGTGGACCACCTGTTAAAAAAAAAAGGAGACAAAACAGAAATCACAATATTTGAGCGAAACATATCACAAACAGTTAACAAGGTAGTCAATATACACTTTAAAAACACTAGCCAATGGATATGGTATGTTATATGAACTCAGTTGGTTGCCGAGAGTTGAAGAGCTGGAAGAAATTAAAGGTGATATGAGGAAGGTTACAAAGTAAGGATTTGAAAAGTGGACACTGATCTGAGGAGACTTGAGTGCTGACGGAGTTGTGAGGGCGGTTGACACTTTACAACTGCCTACACTACAAAAGGCCATGTATTTTTGGGTACCTGAAAAAAAAGGTTTAGTGAGTGACCTCGGAGCCGAAAAGACATCTGTTTGAGGCCGATCTCACATAGGCATTTTGTTAGTTTGAGATTTAGGTTTGTTGCATTCGTACCCCACTATGAACTTGTGTCACAGGCATCGACATGATGTGTGGTGATGGGAGTATGCTACTTTTGTGACCAAATTCTTCTTACTACCTCTCCCAATGCCTACAAGTAATGCAGCATCAACGTGACACTGTTACACTCCCGTCCTGCTAGCAGTACGACTTCGCCTTCACACCTCCATCCTAGTGTAGCAAATTACACTATAAAGGTAACCACTTTATGTTTCGATAATATCCAAAAGACGTGTCTTGTTTGATAGGACCTCGAAGGAACAAACGTTCTACTAGCATAGGTTGTTGGGTGATTGTGAAATACACGCCCGACCACCACGTCAAGGCAGCATTTATATACGACCATAGTACACAGTCATAGAAAGCTTAGTAGAAGAGATCATAAAAACACTAATAAATTAAACTGAAAATCTTATTGTTAAATAGTTTTCTGTATTCAACAAGAATCTATATCCAAGCTTTTTTCATTGGTATACACTACTACAGGTGGATTAACACCATCCAAGAAACTCAGCAACATTACATTCCATGAGAACGACGGCTAAATGTTAGACCGAATCACAATCATGATAAGACAGATGAAACAACTGTATCATTAGACTTTTATTCTTGATCACTTTGCAGCATAACTCACCTGACCGAAAAACTCATTATTTTGTCGGCTTTCATTATGATGACATGAAAATATAGTATATGTAGTCTAAACCATACAACTTGAATCAATTAGATAAGAATCGCCAGGTGGTTGTTCTACATGCCAGTAAAACTTCAAACCCAAATGAGAATGAAAACTGATAGTTGAGTGCTTCACTGACTTCGACCTAGGATATTGAGTAGTATCATAAGCCCCTACACACATTAATTATAGTTCATTGCCTAGTTTAGAAGACTCTACATAGTAGATGGGTCGCATTTTCTACCAACATATAAGCATTATCATTCAAAAACTGCCATTTAGCCATACAAGTGGCTCGAAAGGTCACCTTAACAACTACGAAAGTAATCAATAAGGTCTCTGCATTTGACCGGAAACTACAATTCGAAAACAGATAGTGAAATCTAATTGGTTATTTGAGTGGTTGCTAATGTGGTCTTCAGAGTCACTCTAACAGTATATAAATATACATCACTTGATAAAAGTTGCAATGAATTCAGATTTAAGTAAAACTTAAAGTTAAAATAAATGATTATCTCAAGGAATATATAAGTCATATTTCAACTATAGGCAGCACAGATGATGTCAAAGCCAGGATCGGAAAGACAGCAACACAAACCTTCGTTAAACTGAAATGATCAGTGTGGAGATCTACTGCACTCCACTCCACTCCAATCAGCATAAAGCGTGAACAACATCCCGATTTTCAACACTAATTCAGTCAAGTCAGTCAATGCTTCTATGCGATGGTACAGAGACATGGCGAGTTACGAAAAGCATTTCCATCAAACTACAGATACACATCAACATCTCCTGACTACATTCACTCGATACTAACACTGAAGGTCACATGGCCGGAATATTAAGAACAACAAGGAACTCTGGCTGGCTGGCGACGAACCAATCAACCAAGAACCTATCGCCTAACAAATATGCAGTAGAAGAAAGTGGAGATGGATTAGATTGGACATACACTGAGAAGACTATTGGGGATATCACTTGCCAGACACTCGAGTAGAATCCATTTGGGAAACGACGAGTTGGGCGTCACAGCTGCTGAGGGTGACATGGAGGAGATCATGTGAGGAAGAAATGAAAGCTTGTGGACAGTCGTGGAGCGAAGTTGAAAAGACTGAAGAGTAGAGAGTGAAATGGAGACGTGCTACTGAAGCCCTATGTTTCACTAGGAACCCAAGGGACAAATAATAATAGTGAGTAGCAAGCACTGGAATCTAGGGTCTGCGTTTCGTCTTATTTGAGACTCGTTAGCTGGATATACCTACCCAGCTAACACTGAAACCCAAGCACCCATTGCTTTAAACACCAGACCGTTATCCACTACACTACTTTTTGTGCGACGGCTTTAGCTAAGTTTTGACGCTATAGCCAGTGAACCATCATCTATCTCTCTCTACATGATATAAATATTTCTCACTAACGAAAGTTGAATTGAATAAGCCTACTCAAATGATTAGACACAACTTAAACAACAAGATTAAAACACCATCAAGATTATTACTAAACAAAGTGACCTTGTGCACAATGCTTCTTGACTGGAAAGTATACATTCCGACGAGTAACAAAAAGGAGACAGCTCTGAAAGTCAGGATTCTTTGTCATCTTCCTTCAGCAGCTCAACCTATCCGTTTCACAAGTGGATATTAATAAAGTAGCTTCCAGTAATAACATCGACAACCAGCTAACAACAATACTTGATAAAACATGTAGAATTATATGTGTATGGTTAAGCGCATGGCAGAAAGATAATCTTAACAAACTGAACGTTCCGATTTAAACATTTAGACAGGAAGTAAACTGAGAGGAATATCGCAGCTGGAGAAGAAAAATATTTCCTCTCTAGATTTCTATTCTGAAGAATTATTTTGAAGCATGGAATACATATGCTGAACGAATATGAAAAGCGGGTCGACTGGTTCAGTGATAACATCTCTGACTGCAACACTGGGTGATGCAGGTCTGAATCTTGCAGGGGACATCAGCTCTGTCGAAGTTTCAGATATGCCATGATGATGAGTGTCGATTGGTTTGCCGATTGCCTCCATCCAACTAATGTTTATAAGGAGCATTAAACAATGCATTATCATCTACTATCCTGCAGACCAAAGATTCTTGTAACGACTAAAACTATTGATCACTCATCCAACTGATACACATGAAATAGGTACAAATAATGAGCTCCTACAGACCACTGACAAACAAAATTATCTTATCTATCATCCGTCTAACTTTTCTGTTTCGTGTTCCGATATAAATTCGAGCATTTATCTACTTTATGTACAGTGATACAATAGTAAGTAAAAAGTAAATTACAAACAAGCAAATCAATCAATTAACAAACCTGTGGGTGGGACTTCTACACCTCCGAGAACAGTTGCAATCATTTGTTCAACAGAATACTGACGTAATGAGTCGGCAAACACTGTATACAATAAGCTGAGACTATTCTAAATAAAGAGATAATCATATAAACACAAGGAAATATCCATAAACTGAAACAGAAATGAGTTTTTTAAAAGTTATTATAATGCTTTATTATGATAGAAGTAAGTCTGGTTGAGAAATACATCTTCCAGTTTGTAGAAAAAATAAAAATACAAGGGAATCCTACATGTAACATCTTTATTTATTAACGTCCCTATAAGAGAAACCATGGATTATATTTGTGAACAAATCACGCTACTTCTGTGATATACCGTGACGCTTGCAGTCTTCCTAAAGGTGCACAACTACGCATCTTATGCATAGCCGAAGCCATTAGGGATCAACGCAAGACAACTGGACCTATGTGTTCAAAAGAAAGATGTACATTCATTTTGTCTTACTTGGTCCACAATAGGGTCGACATCTTCTTTATGAACTTTCCTACCACAAATTGCACATTATAACCTCCTATCCCTTTCCTCTATATTGTCATTACATTGATAAACTTTCATTTTCTTATGTTATCAGTTTTATGCTCTTCCTTTATTCATACCGCTACCGACAGTCATTTTTAGTCGTGACGTAACACTCCACATTTGTTATTCTCTACTTCGGTATAGTATTCATATGGGTTTCACCCCACTTGAATATAACCCATGCCCCAATAAATGTATATAAATGAATCATTATCTATTATCATTTGACTATCTGAGATAGCTGTGCGTGGTTTGGGAGACTAGTATTTATACTGGGTGATAGTTGAAAGTAAAATGAAGATTTGGACCGCGGCCGGATTCGAACCAGCGATCACCGGACCTCGTAGCTCAGTCGGTAGAGCATCGGGCCAGAAACCCGGTGGTCGCTGGTTTGAATCCGGCCACGGTCCAGATTTTCACTTCACCTTCAGTCAGCACCCAGTATAAAAACTCGTCTGCCAAACTACGGTCATCTCACTCAGATAGTCAAAATGATAATCAATATGAAGCTCCCCCTACCCCTCTAATTCAGTTAGATTTGAATTGGGATGAGTCTTGACTACGCAGCCAGTGTGAATACGATCAAGCGGTAGTAACGCGTCACGAATTCATATGGTAGTTGGGCAAAACCTTTGGTGATTGAGGTGGGATAAAAATCTAGTCAGCAGTCAGTTAAACCTCGTAGCTGAGTTGGTAGAGCATCGGGGCGGAAACCCAAGGGTCGCTGGTTCGAATCCGGCAGTGGTCTAAATTTTCATTTCACCTTCAATCATCACCCAGTATGAATCATTATCAATAGATTTTGTCTCGTCATTTCGTAGTTGTTCTGTTAATAGTGATTTCATTGCACAACTAACCATTAGACTGATTACCATTCCACCATTCCATCCAATTCGATTTGATCTCCACTCACCCATAACACTGACTATTTCAATATAGGAATAATTGTACGTCATGACTTATTTTGACCACTGTATTGAAAACAATTGTCTGCTCAAATTATTCTTGTTCTGAATTATGAGAAAGGAAGTTAGATACTGGCATTCCTATTATGAATTTGAAAGGACTATTCCTAAAACTTACAATGAATGTCCAGTTCATCTTCAATAGTAATCTGTACAGATAAGTCGACGGAGTGGCTATGGGAACTTCATTGGGCCAAATATATGCAGATATATTTTTGGCGAAATTGGAAAACTGGTCCATTAAAAGACCAAATTGCTAATATGGAGTTGTACTGTCGATACATGGATGATACTTCGGTAGTCTTTGATAGGTGGATATGTATTAATTCTATTCTGAACCATCTCAACAACTCTTATCCATCAATTCATTTTACATACGAAAATGAAATCAATGATTCGATACATTTTCTTCATGTACTAATGACAAGAAACAAAGATGGCTCTATACTGAGAAGCGTATATAGGAAACTAACGTCTAAGGCACATTATACGCACTTTCTCAGCTTCGTATCGATGACGTACAAATGTAATATAATTACGTGTCTGGCATTTAGAGTAAGATAGATTTCTTCCAAGAAGTATATGGAAAAAGAACTACTGTGTATCTGTGGTATTCTAAGTGAAAACCGATATCCGGATAACTTCATCAAAGGTAACATCAACTATAATGGTTCTAAATAAGAACTGATGACAGTGGGGAAGAAGCCTTCGTTTCTGTGCTTACAATTCAAGGGAGATGTTGCAAGGGACATTCGGTCAAAACACCTACCTAAAGCAGTCAATTGGATGTTACATGCAGGTCGGCTTTTTATATCATTTAGTAGTCGGCCAATGCTCAATCCGAGACTAAAGGATAGCCTACACAATCTTAGCTCTTCGTCTTGTATACATCAATTTAACTATTCCTGTGGAACTAGTTACACAAGGCGTACGGTTAGGCAGATGCGTCTCCAGATACGAGAGCATTTACCAGCAAGGTTCGGAAAGGGTGAAGTGAAAGTGGTGGAAAGTCCAGGCCTAGCGAATCTAGTCGACACAAGGCATCACATAGATAAGAATAAAACTTTCAATGTCATTCATCGTGTTCTAAAAACGATACCACATGTAAACCGCTAAAGCCTGCTCAACATAGTGAAGGCTGTCACAATAAGATTGATTAAGCCTGAACTCTGCATTCAAATGTTACTTCTCCCTTGATCTTTAATAAACTAAGGGCCACTCTTGTTTTCGTTATTCGTTATCTTTTTGTTCAACATCATATTATCCTTCTGTATATGTATCATCCTGACAATCCCTAAATCTCACTCCGCTATGAAAATGTACCTAGCCCTAATATGGCTTATTTTTACGCTGTACAACTGGATTTTATAATTGTAGAACACGAAGAGAATTTACTGAAAAGAATATTTTTCGTTCAGATTGTTGCTTTTAATAAATCTCATAAACAAATTTAACAGCCGCACACCAAAAAGTGTGAATGCTCTATGCTGTTAGTAAGATACACTATCTCTTACAATGATATCAGCATTTAACATTAATAATAAATTATTATTATTATTATTATTATTAGTCCCTTGGGTTCCTAGTGGAACATAGGGCTTCAGTAGCACGTCTCCACTCCACTCTGCTCTCCGAAATCTTTTGAACCTGGCTCCACGACAACTCACAAGCTCTCATTTCCTCCTCGCACCATATACTCCATGTCACCCTCGGACGTCCAACTCGTCGCTTCACATGGGGATTCCACTCGAGTACCTGGCCTGATGCGTGATGTCCTCAGTCGGCCTTCTCACTCTATGCCCAATCCATCTCCACTTCCTTTCACTGCATATTTCTTCAGCGATAGGTTATTGCCTCGTTGCTTCGTCACCAGCCACAGTTCCTTCTTGCTTATTCTCATTATTCTGGCAATCCATCTGATCTTCAGCAACGAGCCAATGTAGGCAGTTGTTGATGCATGTCTGTAATTTGTTGGAAATGCCTTTCGTAACGCACCAAGTCTCTGAACCATACAGAAGCACTGACTTGACGTTGGTGTTGAAAATCCGTATCTTGTTCCACATGCTGAGTGCAGAAGATCTCCACACTGGTTTCAGGCTAATGAACGCCTGTCTTGCTTTTCCGATTCTGACTTTGACATCCTCGTATGTGCCGCCTGTAGTTGAAACAGTGCTTCCTAGATAGGTGAAGGAGGTTACTTCCTTCAAGTTTCTCCCGTTGATGGTGACTGGAGTTTGTTGGTGGTGGTGGTGGTGCGGTATCTTCATCACTTCTGTCTTCTCTATATTCATCTGAAGTCCCGTCTTCGCTGCCTCTTCTGCCAACTTGTTAGTTTTCAATAATAAATTATGAAAGCATAATAAAGTACTAGCATACACTTGTAATGGTTGTTTTTATTTTAATTTGACATCATTCAGAAAAAACTTTAAAAAATAAGAAAGGATTGAAAAAAAACTATCATCATTCAACTCCTGAATAGCATAACAAACAAGAACTAGAGTGAATCGAAAGATAACATGTTTTTTCAGACAAAAATATATAAACGTCGTTCTATGTATAACTCCATATAATGAAAACAGACAAGCAAATCAACGTAAAACCTTATGCACAGAAATACAACATTTCGAGTTGTCACAATACACAGCAGTACGCAAAAAGCAAGTAGACAGAAATAGAAATATTATGGTAGACGACAGAAAATAAATAGCTGAAGATTAGTAAACATAATCAAGACTTTGAAGATAACAAAGGATCCACACATCTCATCATAAATATCAACATAGGACCAGGCATTGTTGCGTAACGGTCCGAGTTGCCACAGCTCATATCAGTACATCATGTAAAAAGGCAGTGAGGAGCAAGATGAAAATAGTCCATACATCTCCGTTGTTGTGATTGATATTGAAGCATTTAATTCTGATTGATAACTGCCACCGTGACGTGGCGGTTGGGCGTGTATTTCACAATCACCCAACGACCTATGCTAGTAGAACGTTTGTTACTTCGAGGTCCTACCCTACAGAAAGCAGTCACCCTTGTAGTGTAAATTGATACACTAGGATGGAGGTGTGAAGGCGAAGTCGTACTGCTAGCAGGACGGGAGTGTAACAGTGTCACGTTGATGCTGCATTACTTGTAGGCATTGGGAGAGGTAGTAAGAAGAATTTGGTCACAAAAGTAGCATACTCCCATCACCACACATCATGTCGATGCCTGTGACACAAGTTCATAGTGGGGTACGAATGCAACAAACCTAAATCTCAAACTAACAAAATGCCTATGTGAGACCGGCCTCAAACAGATGTCTTTTCGGCTCCGAGGTCACTCACTAAACCTTCTTTTTCAGGTACCTCAAGAGTACGTGGCCTTTTGTAGTGTAGGCAGTTGTAAAGTGTCAACCGCCCTCACAACTCCGTCAGCACTCAAGTCTCCTCAGATCAGTGTCCACCTTCCACATCCTTAATCTTCAATCTGCCTTCACGTCCCTGGATCAACATTTTTACTTCTTTTTTAATTTCTCCCACCTTTGTAACTTTTGATAACAATCTGAGTTCACGGAACAGCATCAGTGGTCTCTTGAAAATGCAATCCAAACTAAACATAGGCGCCACACCCTCTATCAAATGGAGGAATAAACTTACAGATCACGGACGTGTGCTGTGTTTACTAGATATGCATAAGAACCAAGTATGATTTTTCGATGTAACTCACCTGACCAATATACCGAATTTGTAAGAGCCACCAGACTCGCCTGCGGACTCGCAGGTGTAGAGAAGAAAACGACTGGACACAGGTTAACAAGCATCTCTGCGCTGTCCAATGGAAGGGATCCAGATGAACTGGAAAGGTTCGTGATATTCGTCTATATCTGTATGTAATCTTCGCCTACACATTCACTTATTGCAGTTCGAATGATATAAAGGATGAATTCTAATAAAAGCTGTCAATTTAGCCACGTAAAGTTGTGTTCAGATACTGTCACAGTGGTGGGCAAATCCAACACTTAAATAGGACAACTGGGCCAATGGGGTACATGTATATTTTGCCTAACTGGTTGCAAAAAGCATAAAAACCACTGAATGAAACCTCTGTGTATCCAACTAGAACATGAGGATGACAAATGTGTATTTAGGGAGGAGATAAATAAGCATTCATGTGAAAATGGGAGCGATTCTCGACCTAATGAAGCACAGGGTAATATTCAGTCTGCTGTAGAAACAGCGGTAAAGGTAGTTTGTAACCTACATCAGAAGGTTAGATAAATCCATTAGATTTCCACAAACTCCTGTGAAGCGATTGATGCGAGACGACTCGCTTCAGCTGGCTATGACCACAGTGAGGAGGGAGAATAGCTCGAAAGTAAACTGACAAAGAGTCTTCGCAATGATCACGAACAGTGACTGTTAACGAAGGCGACGAATTAGGCATCAGCATTAGATAATACTCGGTCATTATATAGTCTTATTACAGAAACCAAGTGAAATCCTACAGCAACATTTCATTCCGACTTACTTAAAAAGGGAAACTGCTCAGTTGACAAATCGTTATTTCAGGTTGATATTCATCATGAACTGATATCAGTCGGAGAAACATTAGAGATTTGGGAGCACTGGATAGTTGTTTCGTTCCAGTATGGGACTTCTCAGAAGTGCGTGTCCATGACCCCGCCAGGGATCGAACCTAGGACCTTCAGGTTCCACGACCAGCTCGTTGTCATTGAACCATTGGTTCGACATCCGCTGATCCATATTTACTACTTCTGTGGTATAATGTGATTTCATTTTATACTGGATGATGATTGAAAATGAGATGAAAATCTGAGCTGCGGCAGAATTCGAACCAGTGACTTCCGGGTTTCCTGTCTGGTGCCTTCCCAACTGAGCTACGAGACCCAACCACGGACTAGATGTTAGTATTACTCAAATCAACACACTGACAACTGAACTATCATTTTAATTTAAGTGAAATCAGGATCTGGTTAGCATGTGGGTTTCGTAGCTCAGTTGGTAGAGCATCGCAGCGGTAATACAGAGGTCGCTGGCTCGAACCCCGCCACGACTGCAAAACCACGGCTATCTCGGATAGTCAAATAAGTAATTCCATTTTAGTTGGTTTGTTGGGTGCACCACATAGTGGAACGGTATTATTTACTGGATAACGTTTCATACACAAGTTATTGTCGACAGTCATATGTTAGTTTTAAACTCTCATAAGTCAACGCTTCAACTAGATTTTTCAAGTCTGGATTAGGGGTCCCCATTGCTGGGGAGTCCCACACTAGGACGAAATAGCTGTCCAGTGCTCCTAGGTTTCCAATGTTCCTTCAACTGATGTCAGTTCATAATGAATACTAATTGGGAATCGATAAACCTCCACAAACCTCCATATTGAATAAATCGTTATGACAGCTTCAAGAATAAGAATACACGAATGCACTAGCCAGTCAGCTGGTGATTACGCACACTAGTTGGCACAGCTTACTTGCCACGGAGAGGTAATCTAACAACTGGACAGTACCAACTAATGTTAATGGTAAGTCTGTCTAATCTTTGATCTTAACGTTGAAGTCAGCTTAGTAACGACTAACCACGGGAGTTTTCAATTTAAAAATTTGAAATACATTCATGAAACCTTGTATGTATTAGTGTAGTAGGCTGCAATGAGTCACACCTATTTTGTGAGGCCTGATGATACTACCTAGATGGCTAAATCCCGGTAGGCGGAGTGGGGCTCGAACCCATGACCTATTGGTAGAAAGCTCCACATTGAGGAATGACGTAATACAACTATTTTGATGTGATTAATCTTCACTGAGAAAGAAATGTTTTTCTCATACTTTTTGAATAAAACGGTACGAATTTGCTGATGATTATAGTCCAGGTAGTGCTAAAATCAAGCTGAGCGGTGGTTGAATAGTGTAGGCACATAAACTTGCAGTAATTCGCCTATGAGAATGATGACAAATACTTGTAGTTTAAAGGCTAAATGTTTACTTAGATTGCGAGTAAAACATGAGTCCCGGAAAAAACTTTATCCTAACGTTCAGTTCACTGCATAAATTAACTAAAACACGGTTGGCATATTCTACCAGCTAAATTTAGCCATCGATAATATAAAAATTTTAAGATACCGACAATACCGAGGCATCTTGCGTAAGAGCTCATATATCAATAGTGGCTGATCAATTCAATCCAATCAGTGACGAGAATTCACAAGCTATACCATCATAGACTATACTATACCCATCTCATAAGGAGTGCCTCTCGTGACTCAGTGGGTCTAGTGAACAACCCTGTGGCGCTTGGAACGATGGGTGCCGTATTCGAGTATTAGTGGGAACAACATCACTCACTGAGAGGCACGTATGTCCAAGTTGAATACATAGGTCAAAGTAGTCGACCAGGATCAATTCGGCTTTCTGAGCACAAAACCCCAGCTAAATCAAAATTGGTAGATTTAAGATAAGGAATTTAGAGAAGAGGTCAACCATATCTATGCATACAAATACCCTAAACCACACATTAGGATGGGACAGAGTGACAATCCTTGAAACTAACTTAGTCAGGTGGAGGGAGAGATTGATAACCACCGGATTTTTGTTTATCAAACCAACATCAAACACATACAAAAGGAATGACTCAACACTGGTTCTGGATATACGGAAAATCCTACTATATATATCATAAAGAAGTCGAAGACAGTAGAACTACATAAACCAAGTGTTAGGGAGGTTTGTATTCCTTACATTACATACTTACAATCTGTATATATTTGGACTGGTTTATTCGCGCTCTTTTCCCGAGCATAGGTCATATTTCGTATGACTCGCTATTGTTCTGATTTGCTCCTGCCTCTTTAAATTATTCCTTGTCTTTCAACGTTACTGTAAACTCCATTTTCACTCATAAACGTTTTCAGTCCGAAATACTATAAATTCATCTGATTTCCAGTCTCTTGATTTCTCTTTGCGAATCACTCGGGTTGAATCGTCACAACTCTCGACTATCAATCGTTAAGTATTCTTGTTCGTTCTCATAACTCCGCATCATAACACCATGTCTCAAAGTTGTAGAGTTATCTTGATATGACTATGAACAATAACTTGTGTCTGAAGCGTAATCCAGTATATGATACTGTTCCACTATGTGATAAATTGAATAAGTCAACCATAATGGAACTGTGAGCGACTACCAACCGGATGTTTAAACCAATACAAATGTAAAGTATTGAATCCCCGATACTAATGATATGTTCTAATATAAAGAACAAGGCCTACTGGTCAGTTATGTAGCACAAACTACTACTTTATACATTTTGTTACGAGTATAAGAAGTAACAGGAAGATAACAACAACATGATGATTAATTTATTCAGACTACATAAAGCAAAGTTGAACTTGGCATATAAAAAAATCAACACTTTGATATTTCAAGAAAGTTATAAACTCTGAAAAAATCACTTACCTTCAATACATCAAAATGCTGATGACGAGCAAGAAAAACCAAACACTTAGGTGCATACAATTCTGGTGGATGCACCAGATTTGGATCACTTGCATCATAAATTGATTTGGGCTCAGAATGATTGATTAACTGGTCATGTACATCAAAAGTTGAACTTATAGGTGAACTAGAATTACTATCTAAACTTGTTATACTGTTACGAGAATGTACAGGATAATATACAAATTGGGAATTATGATTTGAAATAGGGAGAGAACTCTTATTTTTATTTACAATAAATGACCCATTATAGGATCCATTTATTAAATGATTATGATTGAATGCACTGGCTGCAGATTTTGCTTTCTTTTGTCGAGCAAGATGCTGCATTTTATAATAAAATAATTGACTAGATGATACAGCTTCATGAAAAGTAAGACAAGCTGCAAAATAGGGCTTTCCATCAAGATCTGTCAGGTAGGCAACGAAGAATGTTGGCGGTGATTTCCCTCGACTAAGAAACCAACCACACGGTTGACAAAACTAAATGCCAAAGATTATCAGGGTTGTAAAAAAGAATGCTTACTCACTGTTTCGATCTCGAAATTATAAGGATAATCCCGCCAACATTTTGTAGGAAATCTCTCCAAGATACGTCCACCGCCTTCGCCCTCAACTAGTACATATTATATAAAATACGAAACAGTAATGAGAACATAGAAACAATTACAAAATACAACACACTAAAACATATATCAGAGATTACAGTATTAAGCCTATGACAAACATCAAACAATAATCATATTAGAGACTTTCTAAACATGCGTTAACAAATTCCAAACAAATGCGTAGAATACACAAAATATAAGATTGACAAAAACTTCCATAGCCTCACACCAAGAGAAGTCACTTCTAGAATCCCAATAAAAGGCCTAAAAAGTAAAAAAAAACTTCCACACTCGCATTCTACGCACAAAAACAAAATTATGTATCACAATTCACCTATATATATATATATATATATATATATATATATATATATATATATATATATATATATATATATATATATATATATATATATATCTTCTATAACATCGTTGCAAAAATTCATCACCTAAACCATCATATAACCAAAAATACCCCATCGCACACATGAACACCTACGACCCAAATTTCTATACAATTTCACAAACCACCCACATACATAAACAGATGCGAACTGAAACATATATATACAAACATTTCACAATCAGAAAACGCCTTCGGCATCTACTTCATGTCCTCCTGTCACCTACCATTATCCATCCATTTCACTATTCCTCACTCCCAACATCAATACCATAAAAAAGAAAGTTGAAAACAAACATCTGAAACCAATACCCAGTCACCTCCAAAAATATCCTCAACGTCAACCATTAAACATTCAACAATGCATCACTTCCTTCTTAAACAATCATACATCCATTGAATACTCAATTCCTACAATTCATCACACCAACATTAACGCACACTTCATTTCAGAATATCCCAGCTTCCATCCTCATCAATGAATACATCGTTGACGAGACTTTTCCTATCCTCCTCATCTACATTCACACAGGCTAAGAAAATAATCACAAAATAAAACATCTAACACACATTACAATAACATCGAAAACACCATCATCCATCCATCCAAGTCAACATAGGATCATAGATTACTGTGTAGTGGTCCAAGTTGCCACAACTCATATCACTACATCAAATAAAAAGGCAGTGAAGTGGAGGATGAAGAGAAGAAAACTTAGCCAAAAGAGAGAGGAAGAATGAGAAAACGGCGAGATTCAGTACAACGTTAAGATAAGGATAATGTGTGTTAACATTTGTGCCAATGACATTAGTTCTGAGTCACATCACCTACAGTCTCTAACCACTGGTTCCTCTTGTCCCACCGACCCAACCACCTACTCTTCATCGCCCCACATGGCTCAAACTAACAGTCAAAGACATCTTACATTGACGCCATGTTTTAGTCTGGCCACCTCAACCCTTCTTCCAGTCTGAATCTACCTCGATTAATATTGCAAAACAAGGCAGACGGCGACTAGACATACGTACTACACGTCTCAACCATCTCGGTCAATGAAGGTTCACAACCACATCAACTGATTTACCTCTTCTCCTTAAAACATCTGCGTTACTCACGTAGTGACACAACGGAATACCGTCTATACTATGAAGGAAACGCTGGTCAAATACCTCAAGCCTTCTCATGTCTTCCACCTTCAATGGTCATGTTTCACAGAGATACAGTAGAACAGACCGGACTAATGTGTAGTACACGCGACCCTCAATAGACAGTCAGATATCACAGCAGCTCCACAGGTGGCATAAGTTGGCAAACTCAGCCAAGCCTTTTGTATTCGAGCAGAGATTTCATCGGTCACTGACCAACGCAACAGGGCTGATCCCACCTGTCAGGTAGGTGAAGTGCTCAACACACTTAACCACTACACTCACTCTCTATTGTTAGCCATGGCACCATTGAAGACCAATCCTCAAGCAACAATTTGCATTTGAATGATGACAAACGCATCGCAAACACTCTCAAATTGCCACTCAGTGTCCAGAAGACTCTGCATCTTGTCAGCGTCTTCATCTAACACGAATATGTCATCTGCGTATTCTACACATACCGAAAATCCTCCCGCGATTACATCAGCCTCTATGTAGTCAGGTGATGAGAGGGAGACCTCCATAAGAATATCTGTGATAAAACTGAATACGAATGAAGAGAGTGGGCAGTCTTGATGGACACCAATTTATGAGCACAGCTCCTCCGATATCTCACCATAGGCTCTAACACGCCCGCAAGTGTTCGGGTAAGGAGCCTTCAATAAGGCGATGTACTTACTCGGCATAACCTCGCCTGGTTAACTAGTTCACTAGTTACTAGCTGGTCCTAAGCCCGGGTAAGTCAGGGTAAGGTAGCCCAGATTGCAAACGAGATGAAGAGGTATCACATTGAAGTGCTTGGAATTTGCGAAAGCAGATGGAATGGAAGTGGACTCTCCAAACTGTCAACTGGAGAATCAATAATCTACTCCGATCTTGTCACCCAGACGACAACCACGAGCACACTGAGTTTTGGAGTGGCCATCATGATGTCCCAAGAGCATCGAAAGCTCTCATTCAGTGGGAACCAGTCTTCTCAAGGATCATAACAGCGAGATTCGATTCAAAAGGAAGAAAAGTCACAATGATACAATGCTACGCACCTACAAATAATGCAGATGAAGAGAAGGAGAATTCTACAGACAACTACAATCAACACTGGACAAGACCCCCCCCCAGATGGCGACATCAAAATTCTAATGAGTGGGGTGATATGAATGCCATCCTGGGAGCGAACAACACAGGAAGATAACTCATCCATCATGGGTCGAGAGGCACTCGGTAAAATGAACGAGAATGGAGAATTGTTTGCAGAATTTTGTGCATTCAACGATTTGGTGATAGGAGGCAGTGTGTTCAAGCACAAGGATATCCACAAGGCAGCAACATGGATTTCACCAGACACCAGGACACACTAAAAATCAGATCAACTTCATCTCAATGTGAAGAAAGTGGAGACGCAGCCTTCTTGAAACAAGGTCAAGAAGAAAAGATGTAGGCTCAGACCACTATCTAGTGCAAGGAACCAGGCTTCCAAATCAAGTTGAAAGCCTTCAAGGAAGCTGGTGATAGACCACAGTTCAAGTACAACACTCGGAAACTGAAGGACGAAACTACAAAGGAAATCTTCACGGCAGCCATCAAGACAAAATGGGAGATGTCGAGGAACATCCCTGAAGAAACCTGTGTGGAAGAACACTGGAAGTCTTTGAAAGAGATGTGGAAAGAAACCTGCATAACCGTGTTAGGAAGGAAGAAGAAGATAAGGAATGGATCTCAATGGATACATGGAAGCTGATAGACGAGAGGAGGAAGGTGAAGCAAAAGATAAACCAGTGCAAGGATGAACGACGAGAAGAGGAACTGAAGACAACCTATAAAACACTGGATAAAGAAGTGAAGAGTGCATGCAAAGACAAAAGACACTTCTGCGAAACACTGGCAAGTGAAGCAGAACAGGCTGCAGGTAGGAGAGACCTGACAACATTGTATCAAATAACCAGGACGCTATCTGGGAGGAGATTAACATAGATGAAACCAATAAAAGATGATGTCGGAAATTTAATTACGAAAGAAGAGAAACAAATTAAACAATGAACTGACCACTTCAAAAAGCTCTTGAATCAACCACCACCTGCACTTCGTCCAGAAATACCACCTGCAGTCACAGAACTACAAGTGAACGCAAATCTTCCAACAAAAGTCAAAGTCCTGAGTGCCATAAAGCTACTGAAATGTGGGAAAGCAGCAGGACTAGATGGAATCCCGCCAGGAGCACTGAGAGCAGACGCAAAGACAAAAGGGACATGTTCACACTACTATTGCAGAAGGTGTGGAAAGAAGGGAAGGTACCTGCCCATTGATTGGAAGAAGGGCTACCTTGTCAAACTCCCGAACAAGGGAGACCTAAGTCTTTGCAAGAACTGGCGCGGAATCACTCTCCTGTCCACCCAATGCAAGCAAAATATTAAGCCGCATCATCCTAGAGAGACTAAAGGATGCGTTGGATTCAAAATTATGACCGGAACAGGCTGGATTCAGGAAGTACAAATCATGTGCGGACCAAATTGCAACGCCACTCTACGCATCATCATAGAACAGAGTATAGAATAGCAGTCAACTCAACTTCATCGACTTTGAAAGGGCCTTCGACAGTGTCAAGTGAGAAGTAATTTGGCAGTTGCTTCAGCACTACGGAATACCACAAACCTTTATCAACCTCATTCAACAACTATATGAAGATGCCACATGCCAGCCAAGTAATTCACAATGGGAAGCTCAGTCATGCCTTTCAAGTGAAATGAAGACAGGAGTAAAACAAGGCTGTCTACTATCCCCCATGGTATTCCTGATTGTAGTGGACTGGGTCATGCAACAAACAGTGGGGAGCAAGAAGAGGGGGATACGCCGGCAAAAGAACCTAGAAGATTTGGATTTCGCCGACGACTTATGTCTAATGTCACACAAACTTGAATAACTACAGGCGAAAACTAACAAGTTGACAGAAGATGCAGGGCAGGGTAGCGAAGACGGGATTTCCTTCAGGTGAACGTAGAGAAGATAGAGGTGATGAAGATACCCAACCAAACAACAACAACAACAACAAGCTCCAATCAGGATGAACGGGAGAAACCTAAAGGAAGTAGTCTCTTTCACCTACCTGGGCAGCACCGTTTCAACTACAGGCGGCCCAGGCACAGACGAGGACATCAAAGTCAGGATCGGAAAAGCAAGATAGGCGTTCATTAACCTGAAACAGTGTGGAGATCTTCTGCACTCAGCATAAAGCGTGAACAACATCCGGATTTTCAACACCAACGTCAAGTCAGTGCTTCTGTGTGGTGGTTGAGAGACTTGGCGCGTTACGAAAGGCATTTCCAACAAACTACAGACATTCATCAACAACTGCCTACGTTGGCTCGTTACTGAAGATCATATGGATTGCCAGAATAATGAGAATAAGCAACAAGGAACTCTGGCTGGTGACGAAGCAACGAGGCAATAACCTATCGCTGAAGAAATATGCAGTGAAAGGAAGTGGAGATGGATTGGGCATAGAGTGAGAAGGCGGACTGGGGACATCACGCGTCAGGCCACGCCAGACCGTCGAGTGGAACCCAGATGGGAAGCGACGAGTTGGGCGTCCGAGGTGAGGGTGGCATGGAGTATATGGTGTGAGGAAGAAATGAGAGCTTCTGGGCTGTCGCGGAACCAGATTCAAAAGTTTGCAGAGAACAGAGTGGAGTGAAGACGTGCTACTGAAGCCCTATGTTCCATTAGGAAGCCAAGGGATAAATAATAATAATAGTAATAATAATAATAATAATAGTAATAATAATAATAATAATAATAATAATGTGATTACTCGTCATACCTTTCACCGAGAGACATAGCCATAAGACTTCTCGATCAAGGGAGTCGAATGCTGCCGCCTTCAGGTCGAGAAATACAGCCAGTGTCGGATGTCGGTAAGCGTGCCTGTGTTCCAGAACCTGGCAGTGTGAATATTTAGTCGATATACCCGCGGTCGGGTCTAAAGCCTGCCTGCCTGGTTTTCTCAGGCTTTCTGCTCCTGAGCTCCACTCATACATCTCATGATTATAGAACCTAGGATCTTGGACACTATTTTCGTCAAGCTGATTCTTCAGTGGTTATCACAAGAAGACTTCTTGCCTTTCTTGAAGACTGAGATAATCAGTGATTTAGACCAGTCAGAGGGAATCCTATTTGATTCCAATATACTGGTTAACACTTTCGTTAACATGACTAAAAGAACCTTACCACTATCCTTGTATACCCAAGGAGTTAGTCCGTCTGGTCCTGCCGTCTTTCCTCGTTTCAAGTTACCTACTGCTTTCTCGACTTCTGCAAGTGTTGGGAGACCTATCTCAGTGTTCCATTCAGGATTTGACAGGACAGCGGTAACGCAACTGTTGTTGACCTTCCCCCCAACCCTACTCAGAGCCCGCAGGGATGCGTTCACGTGCATGCATTAGTTCGGAAGCTGTTGACATCCACTGGTTCTTTTTAGCCACTATTTCGGAGTCGGCTATGGTTATCAGCGCTGCTTTTACAGAAGACTGAAGACGGGCACCAAGCGTTTTCTGAATGAGTGATAGTGTTCTGTTCTGATAACTGTCTAGCGAATTTGTCACTGAAAGCGGCTTTGGTGTTTTGGCTGTCGAGAAAGAAACGACAAATGAACCAGCACCGCCGGCCTGGCAGACGGTGGGGTATGGTGAAGTGAGTTATTTTGGGGCCAACATTTTCCGATACACACACACACACACACACACACCACTTCCACTGAGAAGGCAGTATCAGCATGGAACTGCTGGTCATCCAAGGAAAACACCTTACTGCTGTCACACCCCATCCAGCTAACAGCAGTACGACTTCGCCCATAGACCCCCATTATAATGTACTAACCTACACTACACCGGTAACTGCTTTTCGTCCAACCACTATACAGCAGACCTTTCTGGCAAGGTAGGACCTCGAAGGAACAAGTGTTCCGCCAGCATAGTTCGTTGAGTCACTGTGATATGCAAGCCCGACCACCACGTCAAGGTAGCAGCTATCGGTCGAATGGTAGCAGCTATCATCCACAAAAACGTTCTCTAACATTCCTATCACTACATTTGTATCGCTTTCATGAAATATAGTTAACCTCATGCAGAACACTTCCAAACAACACCATCGGTGCCACACGAAACACCAACAGCCGATTTTTAACACCCTTCTTTACACATTAACGCACACATTCCAATACGTTCAGAAATACAGAGATTCTGCAGTTGGAAACCGCTTTCGGCATCCATTTCATGTCCTCCCTTCAGACACCCCATTATTCATCTACCCAACTCTTCCTCAATCCCAACATCAATACCGCAGACAATTAAAATCAAAAGTCAGAAACCAATATCCAATCACCTTCTCAAACACATTCACAATGTCAACCATCAAACATTCAACATTGCATCACCTCCTTCTTGAACAATCACACATCCATCAAATACTCAATTCCTATAATTCCTCACACCATCAACCCATGCGTCCTTTCATAGTAAGGTAACTACAATACATTTTGCTGGAAAAGTTATGGCTGTTCTCACCGTCTCTTCCTTGTACACAGGAAGAAATTGCGCAAGTATACACAAAAAACATCGGAAAATAAAGCACTTAACTCACACATCAGAATAAAGTCAAAACTACCTCAAACTATCATCCACAAAAACAGTCTCCAACATTCCTATCACCATATTCGTATCATTTGCAAGAAATACAGTTAACTCCATGTACAACTATAAAACAGTTAGCACTCTTCTAAACGACACCATCGATGCCACATGATACACGAACCGGCGACTGTACGCACGGTTTATTACACATTAACGCGTAGACATGCAAATATATTAAGAAATTGAGATTCTACAGTCGGAAATCGTCGTCACCTTAGATTGCACCATTCGTCTATGCAACTCTTGCTCACTTCCCTATCAATATCATAGAAAATCAAAATGAAAACAAAAGGCAGAAACCAATATCCGGTCACATTCCACAACGCATCCTTAATATGAACCAGTTCACATCAATCGCTTCTTTCTTTATCAATTACATATCTATCGAATACTCAACATTTGCCATTCTTTACAGCTTTGCCAACCCATGCTTCATTTTATTGTCATCTAGCAATAATATCGTTTATTCGTAAAAATTTTTGCTTTTCTTAATGATCTCTTCCTGATGCGAATCAGCACACACTGGGCGTTATAGAAAAAATTCTTAACAGAATGAGGCAACTCACTCACAGATTATAACGACGTGCATAACACGTTATCATCCACAAGAGCATTCGTTCGCAGTACCTTTATAACATTAGCGTCAACTGCAAGAAATACAGTCAACACTTCAGTATTTTTAAAACAGCTAGAACTTCTAACCAACAGCATCGTTATTGCACCATACATGTACAGATGTCCATTCATTTTTACTCTTGCTTTCTTACACATTTACGCATGCACAGGGATATATATACATTTAAATATACTTATTAATGCAGATATCTTAGCCAGAAAAAGCTTCTGGCATTTGTTTCATGAGCAGCTTTTAGACACACTATTCTATGTCTACGGGCCTCTGGTTCATTTTCCTTGAGTATGAGGAAAAATGAAAATGCAAACAAGATTCGGAAACGATTCTACAATCACAATCTGACACATCCATACCATGAACAATCAGTTTTCATCTTAAAGATAGGGCCATCTGCAGATCATGTATGATTTGATTCTGAAACTACAAATTGGCTGCGGCGATGACTTTAGCATAATGAAGCTCAAATCAAATTAAGAAGTGTGACTGCATACACAATTAATGTGCCACACTTCTTGGTAGAGCATGCGAAAATGCTCTGGAGCACATTAAACCAGGACTTTCTCAAACGGTATTACGTTACCATTGTCGATTTGTGGATGCACACTTGCATAACTATAGGATTACATTTAAGTTATGCACTAAACCTCAATTCTCGTTTAAAAATCCCTGCTTTAATCCGTATAAAAAGGAGTCAGGATACGGGGAATGTCAAATGCTTACAGTACCAATAGAAAATGTAAATCTTACCAAATTTGTCGAAGTCATATCCAACAAGAACAACATAATCCACAAATCGGTGCATAACGTCATATTTCCTCCTTGTCCATCAAGGACATTTTGTGAATTTGTCCAATACCTAACATCGTCAGTCCATTCAAACAGTCAAAACCTATCATAAACCTTTCGAATATCGTAAGTAAATTTGAATTCTTACTTATACACTTTTTAGTTTCGAATTCCTTATCTTTCTTCCATTAACCACAACCGTCATGGTTTACTATTGAGCGTACGTACATTCCTTGTTCTTGCTGAATCTTTGCCTCTCGTTTTTCTCCCTCTTCTTCCTCTCAGATTCTAGCACTGGATGAATGGGCCACCACCGCTAGACTTACACACCGGCTGTACACCCACCCTTCACAACAGCTTGCCGACAGTCTAGACAAGATCCCATAACCGCTGTCGTTGCCTTACCACTCAACCAGAATGCATAAGGAGCTGTGTAAACGATTTTTGACTTTATTTGTCTCACTTCGGTCTCTTGATTCAAATCACTGCGCCTACTTGCTTAGGCATCACTGTGAATGAAATATTCGGTTAGGATGGAGTAATGTCAGTATTAGGACTTATGTTTGATACCATAGGTTTATACACATCTTGCAGGGAGGTTTCCACGGCTACTTTGATTGAAAAATAGCAGAAAGCGGTTGCATGCGTCCACAGTTACAAATTTATGCAGGTTATAAAGTAGCACTTAGTCCAAGTTTTCGCTGTGTCAAGTGGGGAAATGTTGTGCCCATTGTTTAGCCATGAATGGAACGTCACGTCGATCTCAGTTGACGTTGCATCCAGTGTTGGCCGTTGACAGGCCATAAGACCGGATGTACTAAACATAGAGGGAACGGTTAGATCAAGTCAAACACCAAGCAACCTAGATTAATTTAGGGTCAGCAATCAGTGCGTGAGGTAAACCTCTGGATTGTGGAGGAAATCTCCGTAGAATGCTATTTCTACTCATGTTTGCCAGCGCAGAAACTGTTTGCTCCCAGCAACATGATGCTCGTATTTGACTATATCTGCCTATTTTATGAAAACAATGTCGGCTTCGTTTGAAAATTTGACCCTGTTTTGTGACACCAAGCATTCTCCAAATCCTTTCTGCTTTTCTGCATTGGTTTCTCGAGGACGCAATCGTCTGTGAATTATTTCCATTTTTAGCTTATAGACTGAGTATGTAAAGAAATTGTGGATACACTGGGTACATCAGTGTTCCTCATTGATGTCTTATCCTAAAGTTTTCGGAGTTGGTGTGGATTAAACAGCGGGTTAAAATAAAGGTGAAGTAGTTATGTGTGTCGTAATAGGAGGAAAAGGAACATCTTCATGTGAAAATATCGATTGTCAATAAGAATCCAAGGGTGAGAAAAGGATAGGATGGTGTAACATGAGTTGGTGTGGGTTGGTGAGCTCTGAAATTATCCAAAAAGGCCAGCACTAGACGTATGTATCAGCCAGTTTGTCTGGTGGTTTTCCCAATGACGTGTACGAAGATAATTTCTGTTTTCCACGTAGGGTGCCCCATATGACCCATACTCTTGGTGAAAAGAAGTTGGTGCAAACGCTGGTGCTAGCTCTTTGGTGTGCTACTTCCGCTGGGTTTCCATGTAACTAGGATGGAAGTAATTTTTTGCCGGGATGATATGCTTCCTGAAAAATTTGGCTAAAGGTAGGAAGATCACCCCGTTTCCCGCGATAGCCAGGATAGAATGGGCTAAGTTATTGAGGTAGCCAGAGTAAGGGGACCCTTCTAACCGTATGACACACTTCGTTGCCCTTCTTCGCACCCTCTTCGCAAAGTATGGGTCTTGCTTGGGTAGACGGGATGGCTGGATGGCGTGACAGACGAGCATTCGGAACCTCACGAAGAATATTTCAAGGGTGAGAGCCTCAACCTGCTTCCGAATGAAGTGAGTGACGGAGCCTGTTTCCGCGGCCATTTCTTGATATTTCACAAGGTGCCTAGTGCTGCAGAAACATCTAAATATTTCCGTCTGACTACTCGTGTAGTGATCTTTTCTTTTAAAGTGTAGTTTATCTTAACAGCTGAAGGAGTTTGAATAAACTACCTTACAATTCTTCGGACTAAAGCCCACGTCACTTATCTCCTTCGCAGGTTCCACTTGTGCGAAGTCATCTTCCAGCTGCTTCTGAACATTCCTCCCATCCATTCCCCGCCATATTTCGATGCCATTTGCGAATGATGATTTGAGGGAGGAAATCTACGTGGGCAAACTGCACTTGAAGAGCGGAGGCAGAGATATACCAAGGGTCGCTGCCCTATGCCTACTAGATGCAGAGACTTACATTGCGCACCCGTCATCGTTGAGTTTCCTTAGGGGATGATCTGCCCTGAATGGTTGGAATCGATTGAATGTTCGGGGGTAGAAGTTCAGATGCATTGATTCTCATTCTGATAAAACCAGGCTGGAACATGTCTTTGCATATGTGTTGACGGTAGTCTACGGCAGCAGCCAATGAGCTCTGCAGGGCCCGGCAAGCTAGAAGATACAAAGGGAGTTGGTCCTTCAAGAAGCATTTCCTTCCACACACAGAGAACAGCCTATCGCTGGTAGAGGTGAAATAAAGTTTGTCTGCGAACGATATCAAACTAATTAGTCTTGAAAGACGAATTTTCAGCATGCCCGACATTGCCTCACCTCTAAATTCCAGAAACATTTTTGGAAACTGAGCTGGTGACTTGTTTCGTATGTCTTCCTCACACGTTCTTATCAGCAGATCTGCTGAGATCGACATTTCCGGCAGGCGTTCTTCTTCAGAAGTGGGGTTCAACTTCCTAACGGTATGCGATACAAATATTTGGCATTGGGTAGCACAGTAAGTGAAAAAGGTTTCTTTTGTCCACAATCGGCACTCAAGCGTAAAAAATAGTGAACTGTCCGCTACAGGCGAATTTTCCGCAGATGGATATTCTTGGTGTTCCACTGCTGCTTCCCGTAATCAACATGTCGAGGAAAGAAATAGCTCACTCCGATTCTTTCCTTGGGGGGGACTCCTACGCTGAGTGACATCTTTTGAACGCGCGCAGGCTGCCATCTAGATCAGCCCCCCGTCACAACTAACAAATATATGATTCTTGGGATGTGAAAATGAACGACAGCCTTAAGTTACGATTTTCTGGTATCAAGTTAGAACGGTCTGACATCAGATGTTCCAGCAGGGACCACACAGCGATCCCGTAATCTCGCTGGCAAATCTAGTGACTGAAACTATGTCCCACACCAAAGACACATTACACCAAGAGCTCTCTCTAGTGGTCTGTTGGAACCGAGTGAGAGCTTCTATTTAAGATGCCCGCTCACAGCTACCTCTATGTGATCTTCGGACGTCTCATACCTGGCTATCCACAGTGAATAATACATCTGGTGGCAGAGTAGCTTTATTTCTGAGGCCCTGTTTGATATAATGTTTGGCATTATTCACCCTCAGGCATCAGCGAAAGGCATCGGATAACAGTCTTTTCAGTTGGTTGCGTCCTTCCTCTTACCCTTAAGTGCTCAAGATAGAACGGCTCACTTCCACTATTTTGGTAATTGCTTTCTTTCTAGTAAATTTGTGAAGCAGCCTAAAACAAGATAGGCTTGAGACCTTGGCATCCTTCCCTAATATCGCCCATTTCAACGCATCACAACCTGCGGCCTTGCTTGCTTCAACAGCTGTTCGAACACTTTACTTGGCTCTGCCACAACATTGTGCGGCTTTTCTCGCAGTGTCGGTGGCCTGCTATCTGAAATAAAGTGTGCATGAATTCGAAATATCGCTGAAAAACAATGATCGATCAACGGAAGGGGAATTGGCGAAACGAATAAGTGCAAATATCCCAACCTCTAAACAATTTCGAAAGTCCTTGGCAAAAATGACGTCCTTTCATTCTACCAACGGCGAAATGGTAGATAATCAGTGGCGGAGAATGATCCGATCTGTCACCAAAATATCTACAGTTTGAAGCAAAGCAAAAAGGGCGCGTACACAGCGAGCGCATAACATCGACACAACCAATCACTCATCCCCAACCTTTCTTATACACTACACATAACTTCGGAATGCAGTCTTAGCATTCGCACACCACCAACTCTAACGTGGAACTTTGGTTGGCCTAATTCACATGCTTCTTGCTGTTGTAGCGTGACATGCGTCAGAATCTGTCGATGGCTGGTACATTCACATTTCTTCCAATTACCTTAATACGGAGGCCTGAAATCCTTTCCTTGGTGGAGATAATCGTGAGATACTGGGTATTTTGTTCCTGTCGCAGTCTCAGTATGTCCAATGCTAGTGGTCAATACATCCACGCATACATCTCACGTGGCTCGGATAAGAACAGCTTTTGTAAGTGTAGTCATCAGTCACCGGTTAGCATCATTCGCAAGTGTTCTGTCATGTCCCTGGAATAAGCTCTTAGGAGAGAAAAGCATCCCTCTTACTCCTATTCTTCGGCGCTATAGCGATCCGAGAACGTTTCCGAGTTTATGAAAGCAGTGGGGATCTTCCCACGATAGGCATGTTGACTGCGGCTTATTACTCATAGGTTGTCCATATCAAATGACTTCCCTTTTCTTAGTTCCTCTACATTTCTAATGGATATCACAGAATGCCAAGTTATATGCTCGTCGCTTGATCCGCTCTATCTTCATAGAGTCTAAAGACACTAACAAATCTTCTATTATGGCACTAGTTTTTGTCCACTTTCTTTGTGACTGAGTGGCAGGAGGTCTTCCTACCACTTCAATGTCACTTGGGCAATCAAATTCGCTGGGGGAATTCAGGGACGCAAACGTAACTGATTATCCTGGTTAGCAAAGAAGCCTCTGTGTCATGTTTAGTTTATCTTCCACAGCTTCTGATCTTTCCAAACATGCTTCTGTGAGCCTTAAAAGGGCTGCCAAATCTCAGGTGTAGTGTCCGTTCAGCGTCCCCTTAGCCCTCGCCCAGCGGCACCTTCAGGCTAAAATTTACAGCTACGCACCCACTGTTCTACTATGCCAGACCGAATACATCACCCGGTCCTACAAGTCAAGCTATCGTCGCTTAGCGCCCCTCACGTATTCCTGGTGAA